ATCCTTATCTTGTCCTTCTACTTCCTCGGCTACTCCTCGTACAGCTCGCACACCGCTCGCTGCACTTGCCCCAGCCGACCCCAAAGAGATACAAGACGCTCCGGACTCTCCCCCAGACTTATTAAGCCATAGTTTGTGCTCTGTCTCCGGACACCGCCACATTTAGAGAAGGCCGAGGAACCTCAGCACAAAGAAGTAGTTCGATGAGCTTTATTGTCAAAGTGTCGTGAGGGCCACGGAACCGGGGCTTATAATAGAAGATTTGACTAGCTTCTTGCAACATGTAACTATAGGGGTCTTGATATCCTGACGGTTGTTTGAGGTCCTTGAATACTGCACGCTGACATTACGAGAGATGTTGGGATGTTGGTTGAAAGAAGTCGTGGGTGGCGTCTGTCTGTCCATCCAGTGTCCATCGCGTTTCCTTTCCTTTTCTGGACCATACGTACGCTGGCGACACTCTGTAAGGGATTGGTAGGGACTGGTCAGTAGGAGGAGATGTAGTGACGTGGACATTGGAACGCAGAGTCTGGTATCAGGGTTGCCACTATGTTCTCAGGGACGAGTTAGGCGCGGAGGCGAGAGAGGCTCCCATAGATACATCGTGCCGCGTCTTCGTATCCTTTTCCTCACCGATGTATTCTTGTATGTATTATCCTTCTTACCAATATCCATCCTTCTCCATCTGCCTGTCCCAGGTCGACATCTAGCGCCCATAGCTAGATCCACCACGTAACCGCCCCTAGGTTACGCCTCCCTATCCGACCTCCTACACACTCACCTCTATCAAATGTTCTCCCCCTCTCTTCATGTCTATCTTACAGCTGGCTATCTGACAGCTCACCCTCGGCACCGAGTCTTGACGGCTGTCCATCAATTCCAGACACGTAGGCACTGAACAACCACTCACACAAAGACCCTGATCAGGAGGAGGCGGGAGGACAGTGTGTGTACTGTACATGGATATCATGTCCCTGTCCGGATGTTCATTTGGGGTGAAGGTGCTGACCTCCCAGCTAGAGGGGAAAGCGTCCGGAGAGGGACGAGTCGGCGGCGCAGCTTGACGCCCTACTCTCGAGGCCACTACTACTGACATACGGCCCATGCGCCTATGTGACATCTCCCCTATCAAATGATAACTTCAAAGTCGGACCCCAATTGTACGTTTAGTCAGCCCCTCCTTGGCTGCAGACATGGTCAAGACCAAAGACTCGCTGACCGAGGATTGTCCTCCTTGTTCCTGCAAATTGACACTTGACAAAGGAGATACCAAAGCGCCGAGGTAGTCATTCTCAAGGGGCTCAGACAGGGCAGGTCATGCGCTTCTTCACTATGCTCTTATCCACAGCTTGTACTTAAAGGCGACGAGAGATTACGCCTTCTGACACGAATTTTACATCAGAAATCACTTATACTTTTGCATAGCCTTCTTTATTTTCTTTCGCAGACTATAGCTTCGACCAGCTTCAGGCCGACCACCCACACTCGTTTGACTTCCGCCTCTCTCTAGAGCCCCTCCCTATCGTTCCTCTCAACTCTTTCACCTCTCAAGTCACATCATAACTCGATCCATTTCCGATATGTTGATGCTTCCCATTGTCTTGGCCGCCGTCGGTCTTGCCAGCGCAGCCGAGTTCTCCAACGTGAGTCATACAGAAAGCTACCCATATGATTCATTCATGACGTTAACGCAATATCGCAGCCCATCCGGTGAGTTACCTATCCCACTCCTCAGTCTCCCCCGCACATCTCTCAAAGTTTCTGGACCAAAGTCTAGAAACATGGCTTACCTTTGTTCTCCGTCTTCTAGCGACAGCGGGCCTGATCCTTTCATTGGTGAGCCCTTTGCGAAGTGGATGGGACTCCTTTGCGTGATTGTTGATTGCTGATGCCTTTCCAGTTTGGGACAAAGACACTTCGTACGTTGGACGAGGAGATGCCCGTCGGGCACTCAGGGGCTGACAGGAAGGTGCAGGAGCTATTACCTTATGACCACTACGGGTTCTGACTTGAGGCTTGTCTCTTCTCCTACCATCGGGTATGTCTGAATGTATACCACTCCAAAGACAGAGCTGAACCAGTGCAAGCGGCCTTCACGATGGTACCAACACGCAGGTCTACACCAACGCCGATATGAAGAACCAGGCTACCGTCTGGGCCGGTGGTCAGTATAGAAACTGCTCACATTGTTACCACTGACGTGCATACTTCAGAACTCCACAAGGTTAACGGTGCATGGCACATCTACTACTCCCACAAGGAGAGGATCTGGGCTATCAAGGGAGGAGATAATGTAAGTGAAACGGCGAGGTCGATGGGATATACTAACCTTTTGAGCAGCCTCTAGACGAGTACGCCGATCCCGTACAGTTGTACGACCACTTTGGGTTAGTGAACATCCACATCAACTCCATGGCTGAAGCTTACGCATACCCAGTATCGACAACACCGTCCTCGCCCACAACGACAACAATTATCTACTCTGGGCCTGCCACTCCACTGACGTCTCGAACAATACGATCGCCGGCTCTTCCATGTGCATCTCTCACCTCACCACACCCACTTCCATCAACAAGGACGAGATCTCTGTCATCAGCCGACCCACTGAGGCTTGGGAGCAGGTCGGCGGGCATGTAAACGAGGGTGCGCAGCCTTTGTATTGGGATGGGGAGATCTATGTCACGTACTCGGCGAGCTTCTGTACCAAGCCAGACTACAGTCTGGGTCTGGTACGTACTCAGCACTCGTAAAAAGTGCTCAAGCTGACCCGTCACAGCTTCATCTCATTGGGGATGACCCCATGGACCCCGCTGCTTGGTCTAAAGTGACTGACGGTCCCGTCTTCTCGTCTGGTAATGGCGAGTATGGCCCTGGCCATAACGGGTGAGTGACCAATACCCACGACATTGACCGATTACCAGCTAACACTGGATAGTATCTTCACCTCGCCCGACGGTACAGAGCTATGGAATGTCTACCACGCCGTGACTAATGCCAACGGGTCTTGTGGCATGGACCGTCAAACGTTCGTCGAAAAGGTGGACGTATCGCAGTTCACTTCGAAAGGACCTATCTTTGGCACTCCTGCAAAGTAAGGTCGATCCGTCGATAGCTGTATAATTATATGGAGTCGCTGACGCTTCGCGTAGAAAAGGGGTAGTAGCAGAGGGCCCTTCTGGTGAAGGCAACAACACCGGACAGTCTTCCTCTTCAGCCCTCTCAGCCACTTCTGCTGCTACACGCTCTTCCTCTGCCTCTTCCAACGCTGCTTCTTCAAGCGACGCCACTCCCACTATTTCTCTCACCACATCTTCCATCGTCGCGTCTACCGCCCTTTCTTTGACGGCTTCCCTCTCGACAACCGAGTCCTCTGGCGAGTCTCCCACCGCCTCATCCTCAGCCTCTTCCGAAGAAGAAGACGAAGCGTCTACCAGCTCTCATTCCCGTGGCGGGCACCACACTACTCAAAGCGGAGATGGCGGTATCGCCCTCATTGCCTCCGGATCCGAATCTGCCTCCTCCCTTGACAGCTCATCTAGGACGACCGTGACCGTTGGTCAAGGAGAGGTCACCAGAACGACTACGCTGTTCGTGACTGCCAAGACCTCGCAGGCGCTTGCTGCTGAAGTGACTTCGACATTGGGCACGGGCGGCTTATCTTGCAAGGCCAAGCGAGCCCGAGTGGCTGAGGCGGCAAGTCTTCTTGTGGTATAATTTGAAAGGAGTCTTTTCGTCAACGTGTCATGCATCTGTACTGTACGAGTACCGTGGTAAGGATGAGACACTGCTTATTGCCTTGTCAAGGTATGCATGCTTGTGTAGTACATTCAGACCGCATTAAACTTGAGAACGCGTTCAACTGACAGAAAATGCGACGGCGGCGTTGACATTTTATTTCTCTTCTCTATCCATCGCAAAGTCACCCCTTCCGCTCCCCTTTCATCAAACACCAACCACATTTATCCACTCTCAACATGCCAACCCACGCTGCTAACAAGTCGAAGGGCACAGCAACCACCCGGCGCCGCTCCTATGACACCAGCCAAGGCGCCTCGCCCCCCCCCCCAAGCGGGCCCGTACTGCTAATTGGAGCAAAGATTTGGGCACAGATGGGAACTCTGCCAAGTACCATCTTGTGCAGTGGCTCATTATGCGCAGTGGGGCTTCCATGAGAAGCAACTGGGACCGCTGGAGGAAAGCGCCCAAAGGCGGCAACGGGGGTCGCGCCAACCTTCACCAGGGTGCGATTCATTCAGTACCTCGTGGAGAAGGGCTGCTCCAGCCAGCGGAAGCAGGAGACTTTCAAGACGAAGGTGAGCTTTTATTCGACCGCCATAGCCTATGCAGATTATCACTCTGACAACCTATAGATCGCCTCGTTGACAACGAGTTACATGGACGACGCCTTGCAGTTTAAGACCAGCACTGGGGCTGGACGGCTTAATGAGGAGGAGCGGGACAGTGATTCGCAATCAGCCATCTGCCTCTGCCGGTCTAGAGTACGCTGAAACTAACTGCACACATATCCACTTAGGCGGCGTCCTCGAGAGGTGCCAGCACTTCCTTGACCTAAACCAAGTGCTGTTCCGCCAAGCGGCTCCCATGCCGAAGAACGGCGCTGATACCCTCAGCATGGGCGATGAGGACCCTTCTTCTGTCCAGCTAGACCTCATCGTCCAACATATTCTTGGGAAGCATGATGACGTTGAGGACATCGAGGAAAAGGATGACGAGGAGGAGGACAAGGATGACGGGGACGGGGACGGGGACAACGACGGGGACAACGACGGGGACAACGACGGGGACAGGGAGGAGGATGACGATGATGATGACAATGGGGATGGAGAGGAACGCCCTCCAATTGCCGGTATGTGCTGCTCTTTCCCGTGCTGTGCATGTCTGGGTCTCCGCTGATAGTTCCCCCCCTGGTCAGGTCGCCGGAGCAACTCGCAAGTCATCGCGACTCCAAATCGCCGATCTGTTGCAGGCAATTGCAAGGCGGCTCACAAACCCAAGACCCCTCTCAGTCTCCATGACTCTGCTGGTAAGGGAATGGCTGCGGACGATGAGATGGAGCGCCTCCAGAAGGGTGCCGAGGAGCACACCCAGCGCCGCCACGATGAGATGATACTGGTTGAGAAGGAGAAGATGAAGGCTGAGAAGGAGAGGTTGATGGCTGAGAAAAAGAGGGTCGAGATCGAGAAGAAGAAGTCGGATCAAGAGGTGTTGGCCTCCAAACTAGAGATGTGGCACAATCACGTGGTGTTCAACATGGAGAGACGAAATATGTCGTATGAGGATGCCTCGGCAGATGCAAGCGCGATGATGCCTTCCTTCATGAGATAGATAGATAGACAGAAAAATAGATGGACCGCCCTATGTAAATATGCTTTCGCTGATTCACATCTGCATTTCACCCCTTCTTCCCCGCATATCTCGTTGCCTCGCCTGCCGGCCCCTCGCCTGACGCGCCACCGTTGGCTCCAACCCCATCTCCCTCATCACCCTGCGTCGAGCGTGAGCCCCAAGGCCCATCAGCTCAATGACTTCTCCTTGTTCTTCTTCACCTGCCCTATTGCCCGCCCCCCCCGTTCTGGAGCCATTGCGCCCGATCTTGCTCCAACTCCCGTCTCTCCGCTTCAGTCAAAGGGTCATGGTTGTTGTCGTGGCGGTACCAATCTCCTGTAGCGACGTAAAGGTTGTGAAGGATGAAGCACGCGCGGATCATGCCAGTGGCGATAGCGTCGTCCGTCTCGTTCTTCATCCGCACGCGTAAACCTCGTAGACACTGCCAGCGAAGCTTAGCCATCCCAAAGGTATGCTCAGTGAGTACGCGGATTGATGAGGCGTTGAGGTTGAATTCCGCCTATGAATGAATGGCCCCAAGTCAGTCAATTATCTGTGTGAATGACTGCAAGAACAAGGATCACCTCGGGTGGCTCAAGGCGCGGTGCATTACGCTGGAGCTTCATGATTGGCACGCAGTAGTCCCCAGCAGGGAAAGCAGAGTCCCCCAGGAGGTACTGTCCAGGGGTGAAGTGCTGTGCGGCGTTCTGGATGAGGCCGGAAGCGTTGAATACTTGAGCATCATGGCATGATCCGGGGAAATTGTATTGAGCGTACACGATCCGTTTATCGGCGTCGCAAACCGCTAGGACAGAATAGCCGTATCTTTTCCTACCGTCAGCGCTGTCTAGGAATATATGTGACCACACTCACCTGGACTTGTGGGAAAAGAAATCAGCAGCGTCTGCACGAGCTGGGGTTTGGTAGAACGGAATCATGACTCCGTCCACGACGCCCACACACCCTCCAGGGATCCCCTCCTCCGCAAACTTCTTGACAAGGGCGGCCCTGGTAGCCGAATCTGGCCAGCGCATGACCTGCTTCTCGAGGGAGATTATAGCAACCACGACACGTTTGGTCCACAATGTCGCTGTGCCCTCTGTCACCAATAGAGTGAGTTAGTGCTATGCATCGGCCAGGGAACACAGTCAACCTACCAGAAACTCCAAAAGTATGGCCGACAACGTTCATGTTTGCACCACTACCATCGTGGCCCAGACGGTACAACGCGACCGAGAGCTGGTACATTGGTGGCGCCTGCTTGCGAGGTCCACCTGTATGGAAAATTGGGTGGTGCTCTATGAGTCCCAAGAGCCCTGTGAACTCACTCGGCGTGAGACGGAATCTCTGGCGAAAATCTGTCGTGTTGGTGGTATTTTTTCTAGCCGTGGCATGGATTTTGTCGATGGTTCTTCGCCAGTCACGATCACGGAGGTTGCCATATACTTTGGGTCTCTTCATGTATCGAGAGCGGGCAAGCGCGGTGTACATGTTGATGAGAAGGCCCTTGTAAGGAAGGCTGAGGGCAATGGCCAAGCAGGCCATGCGGCGGTACTTGGCGAGCTTTCTCTGTTTTGGGCTGACGCGACTCATGACGATAGGAGGATGTAGGTGCGTGTTAATGGAGACAAGAGGGGAAGTGGATGGAGAGGATAGGACATCACTGTCGGACAGGCCGACGCGTTCGAGACGGACGGGATCTAATCGGGTCCAGACCTCTGCATGGCAAGTTTAAGAACGCCAAATTGAATTCCCCTTCTTCTATACCGAGCTGGACATGACACTATCTGAGACTCCTACAAGTGTACCGAAGGTGCTCGGGAACTTTCCAAAGTCCTTCATGCTTTGTACTCATGGGAAGAGAACGGCTACATTCCAGCAACTTGGGAGCAACATGCTCTAAGCCTCACTGATTTCACGTCGTCCGACAGGACCAGTACTGTCCATTTCTTCAGCTTGCTTGCAAATGGGTTTGGAACCACACAGGCATTGCGCCAGGCCGGTCATCCAACCTCCCAATCCCATATCGGATATGGCTGGATCTTGCTGGTGAAACATGTCACCAGAGACTCGACGTTGTTCGCAGTGTGGCGTCAATTGTTCGAGGACTGTACAAAGGAACTAAATGGACATGAGGCCAAACATGGCTTGCCTTCAAACCAGCTAGAGCTGGTCTATGTGGATTGATATGAAGGAGCTGTATGCATCCTATTGTTGGTGCGTGTGGGGAACACTCAGCCATTACATTTCATCTCTCGCGGTCACTTTCTTCGAGCAATATTTCTTCTTTATCAATCCGCCATCGAGTCTGAGAATGGGAGGAGATATGTACCTTGTACTTAGGGATAGCTACCACTTCTCCGAGGACAACGAAGTTGCAATCAGCTCGATGGACGGGATCTCTCTCGAGTTATCTAGTCGAACGTACCCATCACGAGCCTTGTGCTGACGGCCAGCGACGACCACCCCACTCGGCGCGCCACTTTATTTCCCGAACTTGGCCGCTGGAGTGTACTGGTGTTGTTCGACTACTCCAGTGGCTGCTCAGAAGCATTTTCCTCCCTGTACATGTACTGCCCAAGGATATGATATTCATGAGTGGCCGGGTTTCCACGAGGGGTAAGAAGGATCCGGGTGAGATTGTGGGAGTGTGATCAAACATTCCAAGGCACGGGTCCGAATATGATCCTCACCACCTGCTCGCTCCGCCTCTCACCTCCATCATTTCACTTTCGTCTTCCCCATCGTCGACCTCCCTCCATCCTCTTTCACACTCCGCACTCTTAACCCTTCTCAATACTCTGCTCTCGTCGACCTCCCCCAAACTTCGCCATGAACAACCCTCCCACGGACCAGCTGGCTGGTCACTATCGATCCCCTTGCGTCTTCCTCGCCAGGCCACTCCGACTCGAAGAAGCGGGACGTGGTGAGGGCTTTCGCCCATATCGACAACTTTTGGCGGCGGTTTGACCTCAGCCTTTGTAAGCGCCCGCAGTGTTAAGCGGTAGTCTAAGCTCACCTCCTCCCCGGTAGACCTGGTGTTGTTTTTCGGTGGCAATTTGGCCGTACTGCTTTACTGGATCTTTTGGTCAATGGAGATTGGAGGGAGAGTATAGCATGGCCCGCAAGTGGTGAGTGTATCAGTGTGCTTTACGATTCACCTTCTCACACCAGTCTCAGGGGTGTCATTAGCTTCACTTTGTTGGCGACTATGATATTATACGGCTCGAAGTCCCGGATTTTCCAAGCTCTTGCGCCTTTCCAGGTCGTCAGATCCTGGAACTCCAATTTTCTTGAAGTCTCAGGAACTCCTATGACTACAGTCGGAGGAGGCGCCAGCCAGATTCCCGACCGAGACGAAGGGAGTCTGAGTGTGTATGGGATGGGGAAATTCTACTTCCACATTTATAGAGTTCGTTGGCAAGCTCCCGTATGTCCTTCTCAACCTGCAGAGGGTAGTGAGCAAAACGGTGGTTCTGGTGAGTCATGCAAAACAGTGTGTCGTCGTTGGCTAACGCACAAGATCTCCCAGTATGTTTTTTTTTTTTTGTAATATTGAAAAATATGCCCGATTACTTCAAGTTTTGATCGACTTTGGAGACGTACATTATTGCTGCTGTGAAACAAAGAATGTATGGTGTCGGCCGCATCATCAGAGTCCGGGACTCATTGACTTATTTGTAAAGTACAAGTCTCAGACCCGCTCGACAACTCGCGGGCAAGTTTTTAGACTGATTACAAAATGCATATTACGTGTACGTACCGCCGATAGCAGTTGGTCAAATCATGAAGTGAGTCTGGCGGAAACATATACAGTAAAGGGAAGAGAGATTCTCTGCCGAGCGAGAAGGATGCATCTGATACAATATACAAAGGCAGAGGTGGCAGAGGTGACTAATTTATGGATTTCTTGGTGGAGTCAGAGGAAAATACGACTGCAGGCTCATTAGGTAAGGCGACGTTGGGCGATGTGGCGAATGAACTTACATTGTGCGTAAGCTCCACTGTCTCTACAATGTATTCGATGGGAATACGACTGTAGACCAGCTCGGTGCCAAACTTTGCTAGACAATTCTCGGCAAGTCTAAGTTTGTTCGGATCCAGTGAGAAAAGATCAGCTCTTGTGGTATCGAGCCCTGCTTTCTTTGCTTTCTGAAGCGGATTGAGAAGAGAGCCCAAACCGGATCCGCCCTCCTGCTGCGTGCCGGAACATGCCGGGGACCAGAGGCGCCATCGCGGCATCATCCCCCCA